AATTAATTTGGTGGCCGATGGTTTATTTCAAAGGTATGTTCAAGACTCAAAGATCTGTATCCAAAACTGGAAAGTGTTTCTGGGGGCTGGCTGATTTACAAAGGAGCAGGTAGAAAAAACCTCTTAATGGCCATTCCAACTTTTGAATTGATAGTTATAGAAGAATTTTGATGATATCATGACCATGAATGCACTGCAATGTGTACTGCCACATTTTGAATAGTACTGAGTCACTCACTTTTCTCAACAGGTGGATGGGGTTCTCGGAAAATAAATATGGTGCCTCCTGAGGACAGTGGATATACTGGGTCACTGCTAAAAAATGCAAGTGCTGGGGGAAAGACCATCCTTTACATTGCTCCAATCCAGGAAGAGCTAGACACTCAGCCGCTGCCTCCTGACTCTAGCTCCTTCTCCAATATGCCAAAAGCGATGTGCCACTCATGTCAAACCAGCTACCCACTTCAACTCTTAGCACTGCATGTTGAAACATGTCAGCCTTCAGATACTAATGCACAGGAGGCGTGTACAGTCCCGTTGCATGGATGAGTCTGGGAGATCACATTACACGTAGCTTTGTCCTATAAAACTACGTAATGACTGAAACGTGTTTTGAAAATGTTTTTATCAGTCAGGAGCTTCATGTTCAATGTTGTGGATGTCACTACACTTGCTTGTGTTTCTGTAGGTAATTTATTAAGTTTGTACTTGCTATTCTCCTTTATCAGACTTGTAATAAAGACATAGAGGACGCACCACATCCCATACCACATACAGAAGACGATCAACTTAACTCACATCTAAAGGTGAAGTTTTGTACCCCTTTAACCTTTATCTATTTGACTGTGCATGACAAAGACAGGAACATAAATATGATGCCTTACATTGAATGGGGAGAAAGTTGAGTTTGATTAAAGTGTCCTACAATAGCCAAGTTGAAGAGGTTCATTATTAGAGGTTGGATTTATTCCTTATATTTAAAGTGGGTAGCCCATGTAAGCTGTATTTGTAATGAAAGTTGACAGATAAGCAACAATCAGATGTATGGAATCACATCACAATTCCATTCTTTTAAAGTTGCTGGTTTTTTCCCCTTTCTTTGCTTGTCTTGACAGGATGTGGAGGAAGATGTCATTATTTTGTCCTCAACTGCAAAGGTAATGTTGAGTGCAACGTGTTTAATGTCTGTCTTTGAGGCATTATTGATTCTATCGTTGATATTGTTTCCTGTTACAGATTGTGTGCCCTGTCTGCGGTGAGACATTTCCTCAGAATGAGGTGGAGGCACATGCAAGTGTTGTGAGAGGTAATGCAGTCTTTTAATATGGCTTCCAACGTATGTTTGAGAATTTCCCTACAAGCCTTTTGCTTTCCACCTATTAATTTATATTTTGATAGACAGCATTTTATGCTTTGTTAGTGATTGTGCCATGTATGTTATACCATAACATTTTTAATTGTTTAAGTCTTACAGAAGTTATTACAACACGGTTGAAGAAGTTCTCTTTTAAGTTTTTAAGTTGTAAAGGTATTGTTTTATTTGTTGCTTTTGTACAGTACATGTTTGAGGTCAAGTGATGTTGTTTTTACTCTGGCATTTTTTCATTACAGCAATGCAAACCTACCTTCACAACAAAGGATGGGCATTTCTAGGTTTGTACACATCAGTAGTCTTTCTTCAATGCTCTGTACAGTGGTTTTCAAACAATTTCTGCCAAGTACCCTTTGTGTAAAGGAATCCAGCTACCTAAAGGCTTAGCCTGTCCACTGCATTTTCTTCTTCTGTTAGGTCAAAGTCACATACTGCTAGTGGTGACACAATTCAGTTTGAAAACCTAAAAGACATTAACGAATACACATGAATACACACAACATGGTTTCCAGTATCATGTTTGTAATTGCGAGTTTTTCTCCATTAGCCTGGATGAAATCCTGCAGGCCATAAGTACTGCTGTGAATACAGAGGAAGAATTCCGTATCACTGTCTCAAGATCCAATATGGTGGAGCGGGGACTTGCACAGTGGAAGAGGCAAAAAAAGGCATTGCCTACAAATCAGCTGAGGGTCACATTCATCGGAGAGGCAGGAATTGATACAGGGGCATTACGGAAAGAATTCCTCACAGGTACTCGTATTTAAAATGTGATCTAAATTGATAGGAGTGAAAATGGCTACTTAACCGGACTAACTATTTGTGTTAAAAGAAATGGTTGCAGGCTTGGAGCAACGGCTATTTGAGGGTGACCAGACTGGGAAGGCTCCCAAATATTCATTGCTGGATCTCGATCTAGGAAACTTCCGGTAGGCCTTTCTCACATGCATTGGGGTCCGTAGTTGTGTGTACACACACACGCATTGGAAATTACCTGATTGATGTTATTTATCTCTTCTCCTCTCACAGTAGTGCTGGTGAAATTTGGGCAGTTAGTCTGGTGCAAGGTGGGCCACCACCCTGCTGCCTCAAAGACTGGTGTTACCAGTACTTGTGTAGTGGAGAGCTGCAGATTGAGAACATTAGGAAAGAGGATGTCTGTGATGATCATTATACTTCTGTTATCTCCCAGGTATGAAGTCTTAAAGGTTTCACTGCTCTACAGTGTTTTGAATTACATGTTTAGCACAGATTTTACCATCCCTTATGTTATTTGCAAATTATAGGACTCTGGAATTGGTCATGTTAATGTGTATGTTTGTGTCCTTTAAGGTTGATTCGGCAACAGAAGATAAAATGACAGAACTCACTGATGAAATTTTGAGTTGTGGCTATCATGGACCTGTTAATGTCGAAAAGAAAGAAGAAATTGTTCGGTAAAACTGTTTTACTGTTTTCCCCCCCAAAAAAAGTTTTTTTTTTTTTTTCATTTAGCAGCATGCGACTTTTTCTTCCTTTCTGCATTTCAGTGCTGTTGTTCTTCACGCCACACTTCGGTTGGTGCCTCTCCTCTCCCAGCTACGTGATGGGCTCAACCTTTATGGTCTTACTGATCTACTGAAGCAGTACCAAAACATGTGCCAATCGCTGTTTGTCCCAGGGGTGGAAGTTAAGGTGAGTAAATGTTGACTTTAGTAGGGATAACACTTGTAATTGTGAATAGCAGTTCAAAGTGCTCTTTATCTTTACTTTACAGTATATACTTTAAGTCCTATAGTAGAAAATGTAATTAATGGTGGCACTGGAAAAAGAATATTCAAAATTGTCTTAAGTTGCTTAATATTCCTGAACCGTTTAGAGCAAACACAAGGCATCAGGAGCAATGAAAAAATCCCTTTTAACAAGGAGTATTTACATGTAACCTACAGAGTTATAAAGAGACTTGATCTATACAAAGTTATAAGATTAAATGAGAAGAACTAGCAAGCAGCATGAGACAGACGTTTAAGTCCCTGTCTTTATGTGTGACAAAAGAATACAATTACTTAGAATAAAGACAAAATAATAGGTCCTTGATCTCAATTACAATTAAGTCTTGATTCAGATAAAGTCACAATTTTCTTTGTCTTTCTTACCAGGCTGATGCTGACTTTGTTTTTGCAACATGCCATCCTGAGTTCAGCGAGAAGGGCTCCAACAAAGAACAGGTGGAAATGAGGATTATGAACCATCTACAGGACTTCTTGCAAGCGCTGGAATCACGTAAGTGCACATGTAGTTTACTGTCAATGTATTTTGTCTTTCTGTGTTAAACTTGGAATCATGATTTTATGTAAGGAATGGCTAAACTTTTAGAGAACGGCCAGTCTTGGTTTTCATGGAGTTTACTGCTTTAGTGTTTTTGGATCTTTTTGTCCGACGTTTCTGGAGTACACTTCAGAAAACGTTTTACAAAAAGATATTAAAAAACAAAAGCAGCAAAATGTGTGAAAACAATTCTTATTCTGTAAACCTTTGGCCACAGCTGTAGATTACACTATGAGTGCTTGTTCACTCTTTGTCAGTAATTAAGTTTTTAAGTTGTATTTGTGAAGTTACAGGTAAACAGTATCTAATATTTTATCTAAATGACTGCTTTGTCTTTTTTTAAAAAAGGTGAAGAGCCTGAGACCAGTGACCGTCCAGTCATCCTTTCCCCAAGTTCATTCTTGCAGTGGCTCACAGGACAAGGCCACATTCCTGTCCTGCCAGATGAGAAGATGAACTTCAAAGTCTCTGTGCAGTTCAACCACTCATGCCATATTCAGTATGGCGCTCATGAAGTTTGCTACCCAACCGTTACAGCATGTAGTAATACAGTCAAGCTACCTGTTCAGCATATGCAAACTTATGAAGAGTTCAAGCATGTGATGACAAACGCGTTCCACTATGGTCAGGCATTTCTTCATATTTAGGAGCATAATCAGCCAGCCAGACATCTTGATTGTTCCATGAAATGTTAGTAAAACAAAGAAATCGACATGTGTTGCTTGATGTTTTTTTTAATTATTGTTTTACAGTTTAAGCATTCTGTTTATTGCCATTGAAATTATTATAAAAAAAAAAGTTTTTGTCAATATAGTCCTTGCTGATCTCATTCCCTCCTCCATTTGACTGTGTCAGCTTGTGAGTATCTATTTGGGTTCATGAGTGTAACAGAAAGTAAGAAAATGTAAAATTACCATTAAAACAAGGAGAGGTTCTTATTCTTCTTAGAAAAAGGGATTATTTAAAAGAAAAACTATCACTAGCAGTTTGTAAAATAACATGTTCTTATAATTTTACTCTGATGGGCCAAGCTGCAACTTTCATGGATGGTGATGTAGGTGAAGAGCATGTGAGAGTGTGGTCAGGTAAATGTCTCTTCCAAAACTACATGAAGGCACAAGAGGATCTATGGAAAGGCGTAGAGATTCAATATCTTCAGCATTCAGTGGACATTCCATTTCTGGCACCAAAACACCTGGGTTGTTATGATGGGATAGCCCTGCACTCTCCCAATCAATGCTCTCAATTTGGATTTCCTGAAATAAAGCAGCATATGTAAATGATTTTAAAAATCTACATATAGCACTCAATAAAACCAAAACATTGCCATTATTACTCAACTGCCAAATTTTCTTCATATCTCTGTGGCTCTCTGATGGGGTGCTGCAGCATCCCAAGTTCCCACAGCTGGTTTGGTGAAAGGCTATGCTCTGTCCTGATGGAATGATCATTCCAGCCAGCAGAAAACTTGGCCAAATCCCCCTTGAGTCTTGGGAGGAAGGTGTAATGGGCACAGAAGAGATGAAGACTATCTGAGATGTTAAGAAATCCATCTTCTCCAAGCTGTGTAGTACATCATAATAAATGTGTGTCACCCCTGTCCAAACGTCCCTCCATAGGCGCTCAATTCTACATTTGAAAAAAAATACAGAAAAGGTCTGAAAGGTCAATCAAAAACTAACAAAGGACAGCCAAACAGCAATTCAGCTGGAGTCAATCATGATGAAATAACAATGTTATGCCATTTAGATCTTACAAGCATTACCTCTGGTTGTGCACGCTTTTTCCACTTATGAAGCTTCCACATCCTGTGCCTCTCACAGTGAACATCATTTCAGCAATCTTGACATTTTCAACTCCTTGGTCAGCTCTCACTCTGTACCATATAAGATTTTAAAAATAAGTATTGAAACAACAAAATACACTAAAAAATTATTCAAATACATGATTGACACACTTGCAAATTTATATACAGCACTGAAATCCTGATCATTTCATGGTTAAACATGGCAAACACAAATCATGAGACAAACTCCAGAATAAATTTAATGAAGAATTACTTACTTGTAAGGCCATCCAAATCTTCTAACTCCGTCCAGAAAAAAATCAAGTGCAGTGACAAGAGTGTGCAAACTGTCATAATACACAATATGATCAAAATATGTGAGCTGTATAATTACATAAGCGGAGAGAGAAAAGATAACAAGATGTGAGAAAGTCTTTGTGGATTTAATAATATGTGCTGTATTTGGGTACGCAACTTACCTTCCTAGAGTAGCCATCTATGCCGCCAAATATCACTATGTTGTATCTGGTGAAAAAAAGACAAGCAAAGCATAAAGCATCTGATGGATAAAATTATTCAGAATTATGTTAGTCATTTAATTTTCTATGCCAAAACAAACCTAATTAATTTATGATTGGTGTCAATGTGCTGTAGGAAATGTGGGCCTTGAACAGAGTACTTTCGCCGAACCACACAGCCCAAAGTTGACATTCTTGTTAAGATGCCCTCTGTATCAACTCTGTGCATTGATGCCTTTAGTCTGTTCCACTGTACACGGTGGCCCGCAGCTTGAAGGTAACCCTTGACAATCTGATATCCAGCATGAGGTAGTCTGGATTTAATGTCTCTCACTTTGGCATCAAGAGCGTCATTAGATAGGGTAGAGTAAAGACTCCTAACTGACATGTTGTACTCCTGCATTCTCCTGTACATGGTACGTCTTGAGACACCAAGAAGGTCTGATACACATGTGGCAGGTAGACCAAGCTGAAGAAGACTTTGGAGGTGAT